TTCGTACGCCTTCCTTCGGAGGGGAAGTAAAGCCGGCTGTCCCATGTTCGTAGATTTACTTGCATGTAAAAGATCCTCAAGCCTAAATGACGCCTCTGAGCTAAATTCAAATCGCCTGTTTCTCGCCCAAGAAATACCTCCTTTCTCTCGTAGTTGGTGAAAGGAGCGTAGCGAAATTTGCGTGGTCAGACGGAAGAGCGGGCCTGATGGCCCGAGTCTCGCCACGTAAAATAAGGCAAATTCAATTCAATTCAATTCAATTCAATTCAATTCAACATATCCGGGGAAAAGAGTACGTATGATAACCCTATTGGCGACCCAATACAATTAAATATGCACATAATAACGTAACAAACCGCGAGACATAAAGCATATGTACGAGTACTGAATACCAAAACATATTCAGGGTACCAGTAAAATCAAGAACAATGAACTTCCGCAAGCTTTAAAATCCACATCAAGAGCATATTTTGCGCAGTCACCTCACGTTTGCCGCAGCATCGACCTCCAAAGGGGTCGACGCGCAGCAACGAGATTGAACAGTAGAAATCTATAAAGTAACGATGTTCCCGCCATATTTGAAGCCTTTTGAAAGGTTAATTGCCATGTTTTCGGTCGGCAACATTAGGATATTCGCGTAAAGATGAATTCGACCTAAGAGCATTTAGAAGTCACGTAATATTTCAAACATGTTCAGCTTTGTCTAAATTCATTTAATAATATTAAGTTTGATTGTGCTTGTTCCTAGTACAAATTAATTTTTCATGTTTTCTACTTAGTGACACTTGATTAAAAAATATGTTGGGTCGTACAGTTTTGATTAGTCATATTTATTACAAAACTTTAAATAATATTGATATCGCCACGAAAATGTGTTTAACAATAATACGAGAAAAAACCGAAGTCCCAGAAAATTTGATATAAAAAACAATGTTTTTCAGCAATTTGTTATAACTGTATTGATACATTTTGATGTAATATACTACACCTTTACCAATTCCTACAGAATGTCAATAATAATACTGGACTAAACGTAGTTGAAATTCACCAACAGTCAATCCTTATATTACGTATATAAGTATTAATATAACTAAACATTATATATGTAAATGATCCCCTCTTTTTACTTCCAATACTTTTGACGCTTCTATTCGTGCAAATTATGTGCCCAAGAAGAGGAGAGGACTATAATGTCACATACCTACAAAAATACGCTAAAAACATCTAAAGCGTATACTTTTATGCAGGTGCGAATTCACGGGAAGGGAAATGAAGGAAATCACCCCCCTTCCCCCCCAAAAAATCCTGTAACTATTAATTTTAACTTGTCACGAAACTTTCAAGCAAAAATATTTTCGGATAATTATTAAAACGAATAAAATTATAGCTAAGCATGAGCCGAGTGTAGCCAGCGACATTTTACAAAAATAATAACACATTGGGCCAAAACATTTTTAATTCCGTCTCCCAAAATGTTTCTGTGGATCCGCCCCTGATTTAAGCAAGAACCATAGCAACCTTCAGTTTATTTTACTATCAGATAACATGGCGGTCATTAGTGCAAATGGCTTCAATCAGGAGCGCTGTATTTGCACACAAATTCTCTCTACTATGTAATTCAAGCTCGTTGGCTGAAGCGTCTTGCAGCAGCCGTGGCGAGACGAGGTGGGGAGCGACGGCGACGCGACGTGACGTCGGCGTCCAGCGGGATCGCGAATCACCCTGCGCCAAGCCCGCTTCCGCGCGGAGGAACAAAGGCGGCGGCGGCGGCGGCGGCGGGGGCGGCGCTTCACTCGCTCCGCGCACGCTCCCACGCGGAAGGCAGCAAGGAAGGGCGTGGACGGCGCGCAGTGGGCCACGTGTACCAAAAGATAGACAATTTTTTAAATTTCATTTATCACCTCTATAAATTTACACAGATGATTTTTATTAACATTTACATCATTTCACGACGGTTCGGGGCGCATTGTGGTTCCATCACCAGGTAAAATACGTTCTTTATTTCAACAACTTTCCGCCACACGAGAGCATATCATAATAAATTGTGTACTTTAGAACATTTCGTATACAAGTTGTTGACTGTTAAAAGCAGGTCGACAGCTAGGGAGGAACTAACTTGATCACGCACTTGTTTGCGGACGACAAAATTATTCACGCACTTGTTTGCGGTTGTGGAAATGATGTGGTTCAACGAAATATGGTGATGGATGTGGACAATATAGGGGGACCAGAACGGGAAGGCAGTTCTTGTTGCTCTAAAACAGAAGCCGTTCCCGTTGAATTGGTGCAAAGTAAATAGTGGGGAAATGCGGGAAAAGGTAACTTCTGGGGTTTATTAGTGTTCGATACTTGGAAAACCAGTCACTTACTAATTCAAAACATGAATGAGATGGACCAATCTTAAAAATGTCACATCCATATAAAAATAAAGAATTAGTCTTGTTTAAGAAACAACGTCAATAGAACTCTTAACAGTAATTCTCAATAACGGCTATGCCGAAATAATTCAATAATAATTCTAATAACGGCTATGACAGAACAGTCAATATTATATTCCAGTATTTGTACAAAAAGCTGAACAAACTATTTATGAACTTGTTTGCGGTTTCGGAAAAGAAGTGGAATGTCATTATGGTGATGAATATGGACAATATGGAGGGGTAAGAACGGGAACCCAAGTATCGGTGCTAAAAAGCAGAAGCCGTATCCTTTGAATTGGTGCAAAGATATTAGAAGGGAACTGCGATTAAGCATAATTGTTTGGTTTGGAAGTGCTTGATATTTGCAAAACCAGTCGGATACTAATAGAAAAATTTAATTAGGTGGCACAATTGTGGACCAACTTAAAAATTGTCAAATAATTACTCAACAATAATTTTAATAACGTCAAAAACAAAACAGTCGATGTTATATTCCAGTATTTGTTCAAAAAGCTGCCCAAAACTATTTTCGCACTTCTTTAAACTTATATAAAAATACATGTCATTAAATAATTGTGATGTAATAAAAAGGGAAGACAGTTCTTGTTGCTATAAATCAGAAGCCTTACCCTTTGAATCGGTGCAAAGAAGTGTTGAAGTGTTCGTATTTGGAAAACTAGTCGCTTAATAAAATACAACTTTACTGAGGTGTGCCTCCTTGTAGAAACAACTTTAAAAATAGCATAACCATATCAAAATAAAGAATTTGTCTTGTTCTCAACGGTTAGTCAGCATTACTTTTCCAAAAAATAATTTAAAAAATAATGATGCCAGAAATCGTTATTGTAGATATACAGCACAGTTGAATACATTGTGATTGAGTGTCACGTTCTGATAGTATGAGGTAATAGTTGGTACTTAAAACAATACTAGATGCATTCCATAATAGACTTATCTAACAATTAAGAGGGAAACTTAAAATATTAAATCGAGTTTGACCGCTTTTGGGGCTAAATACCCATTGTGCAGCTCAGCACCAGGCGCGAACACTCAGGGACGTCCTCTAAGCCACAGCAGCGCCGCCTCTCTGGATTACAAAGCTGAAACTCTTACGAAACTCCACCAGGTCGGCTTGACTTCGCGGAAGAAAACGAGAAAGAAGTCGTCGCGGACATTAGAGTGAACTTTGTTTACCGAAAGTCGCGTGATGTGTTCATTTCCTTACGACAAAATACTCTCCGCACGAGTGACCCTCGCTTCAGAACGTATATGAAGTGCGAGTGTATGTGAGCGTATGCGAAGGGGCAAAGAAATGTGAAATTTCACAGAATCGTTAGGATATTTCCACTGAATAACCGTTTGGAATCAAATCGCACAACGGAGTTTTGTATTTGAAGAATATCAAAAAACAAATGCACATAGTCTAAACAAAACAGTTGATTGGACATTTGTTTGCTACAACTCATCATCATTTACTATTACAAGCCACTTCAACAATCACATCGTAGAAAATACAGTTTTGCCGCAGTCTTCGTACCCAGTCTTCTTCCCTATTTACAGGGCAGCTCACCACTGTCACATAAACTAATCCAAAGCAGGCACTATTAGTAAGTGATAAGAGCTATAACTATTTCGCCAATCAGGTTGCCGTCTCCCTAAGTTTTCTTGGCGCTCGCAGCCCCTCTTACACTAGAGGCGACGTCACGAACGATGATTCGTCTTGTCGAAACTTTTGATTCGGTGGCTGCTTCTTGGAACAGGCGAGACCCCGAAACGCGCTGCCCTACTCTGCGCGCGTTACTTTCGAATGACCCCACACATACATGTTACAGTATTGGAATTCCATTATCCGATAATTTTATTACTTGAATTAACACATTCACAATTAAAACATCGTAAGATGTTCTTGGACTATGATTTTTGTCCCGTAAAATAGATATTGCAAGTATACAATAAGAACAATCATTGATCGTATTTTACTTCTCAGTAACTGTAATTGCATTTTAGTTTGCATTTTTATTACTAGCGTGAAGGGAATTATAGAAGTCTTCCACTTTTAACTTTTTTCATCTCTTCGGCGAATCCACAGTTTCGGTTAGTAACTTCGCAATTTTAACATTTACCATTTACCGAAAATACCATTATTTATTTATTACTTTGCCATGAAAACATATCGTGAAAAACCACGTAAAATCGGCATAGTATACAATAGCTATTCGTAATCGTTTTGAAGTACATTATTCGACATTTTTCAATGAGACCGAACTGAACATCTGTTTTCGGTACTTTACACTAATATCACTTATATTTTTGCAAAGTAAGGGACAGTACGGTAAGAGAACGAAGGGATTTTTTCAGCAGTGGAAGCACCAGCGAGTGTGATCAGATCAACACGTCTGCAATTACATCTCTCTACCGACCGGCGTTACTATTTTCGTCCTTGCTTTCTTTTATCTGGTTAGATACGATTTCCTCGTTAGCATGAAACTTTTCTGTGGAGACGTATCTTTTTTAATGAATAAGAAAGTAATTTCTACGCTACTGAGCAAATGACGTTGAGGACATCCGCTTCCAAACAACATGGCCGCATTAGACTGTAAGTGTAATGAATTGTGCTGTTGTGTATGAACGTTTTTGAGAAATAATACATTGGTGCCTAAGAGGCATGGCATTCTCGTAGACCTCACTTGACCCGCTCTGTATTTTGAAGAAGTCACTTGAATACCTGTTGCAATCGAATAAAAAGCTTTCCGAGTTTCAGGTATTGAGCCATAAATCCCTGACATTATCAGTTTATTAGGATCACTGAATGTAGATTATTAGTCTTTTTTTATAATAATCACAAAGAACTAAGTGTACTTGACGAGAAACTAAACAATGCTGAACGAGTTTCGATAGTACTCCAGAACGATAGCAATCCGATGAGAGAATAGGCATTGCTTTCCCTTGAAACTGGAAGCAGCTCCGTGTATACTGACAATCCACATTTTCCCGTTTACAGATTTTGGCATCACGACGGGGCAGCAGCTGAGCGACCACCCCTGCTCGTTCGCCTTCAACAGCAGCGCGTCCCGCTCGGGCTCCTTCGCCAGCCCCAACTTCCCCGGGCTGTACCCGCGCGACACCGAGTGCCACTTCCTGTTCTTCGGGATGGCCCGCGAGCGGGTGCACCTGCGCTTCGCCCACTTCGACGTGGAGGGCATCAGGCCGTGAGTGCCAGTGTTACGGCTATCGACCCACCCTGACTAATTCCCCAATTAGCCGCTTAATGATTGCGTTATCCATCATGAGTGGATACATTTCCAAGTAGAAATAGCTTGGAACAGTTCTTTCCACTTTAGCCGGATGAAGTTGAAATAAGCCAGTCCGAGGCGGCTAGGGTAGGAGATGTTACGGTAACGAGAAATACCAGGTATGTGATATGATCAGGGATCAGACTGATGGTAGGAAGTTTCTAAGGCTGCTGACAGACACGTTGTCTTCTTTCAGCACCACTCTGCTAGCCGTAAATTTCTAGTATTTGCACCACCTAACCTCACCTCACTACATTTTTCAGCTAACTCCACACATTTCAGAGTTAGATCCATTCGGTCTGCAATGCAATTTAGATAAAAAGGTTTGTGTCTGTGGAACATTTAATTTCCAACTTATTTTTATGCCAAATTGCTTTTTGCGAACACATACGCCTCACGTCACTCTCCTACAATCGTCTTATTTTAGCCAGTGTCCTGTGGATTGTACCAACATAATGCGGATAAAGTTAGAAAATATTCTATCACACTTTCTCCTTATATTTAATGTACTCAGCAAATCTCTAAGAACTCGAATATCAATTAATATTTCCATTTAACAAGAACAAACATTGTTAGGTGACTTGTTTTCAAAACACGACGCTCCAAAATATCGCGATATATGCATAAAGCACAAACTGTATAACTGCTTTTATCAAACTATGAATACTTCATGTGACTATACAATAATTTACATCATTTACAAGACAATAATATAGAAATCTAGCTAGACAAGCGCTTATGTGAGGGGGAAGAAGTTATATCTGAGATTCATTCCAAAATAAATGATTTCAAAATACTTCTGACTTCAGACTTTGACTCTCTAGATGTAAAAAAGTACTTTAACTTACTTTCAACAACCCTATTGTACAGCAAAAATATCGGATAGATTCAAGAAGAGAGCCTTTCTATTTTCTACAAATTAGACTAGTACGTAATAGAAGTACATTTAAAATGAATGTAAAATCGCTTTAATTAAACAATTTTAAACACACTAATTCCTAGCATTTTTCATTAATATGTGAACAAATATTACATTTGTCCAAATACTTGTGTATTTAGTATGTCTTATTATCATCAATAGTTTCCAAGATCATTTAATTTCTACCATTACTAATTTTGGAGCTATTACATGAAATAATATCTATTAAATGTTTCTTTTTCAAGCCACTAAGTATCATACATCATACTTCAGTAGCATTTGACTAAAAGTTCATTAAAATAATTTAAATAAAATAAAAAAGCATTTTATAAAATTATTTTAAACATTTTATAAATCATCCGTAGTTTGTCTACTAAACTTTGTTGTTAATTATCTGCAGAGCTGATCTTTGGTTTACAGGAGCCCAAAGAAAAATATACCCCTGAAAAAATATGGACAATCACACTAAAAATGAACATTCAATTTTAAATATTGTGAGTGTGTACCGCTGTATTGAACTCAGGAACAGAATAACTTACGCAAAGGCACAAAAATAATTTTCATTGATAAATAAACCAATAAGTCATTGAAAAATGTGGTAGCATTTATGCACCGTGCACAAATGTGCTCAATATCGCACAGCTTCTTGTAAATACAATAGCACTTTAAATTTAGCAAATATTGCTCCTTGATACAGGTAGTTTAGCAAAAAAGCTCTCGTTAGCTAACAAACTCTTCCGAGGGTTGGGTAATATATTAATTAAATATCCTTTTATAGCTCTGGATAATTCTTAATCGAATTCAATCATTCTTGTTCGCTCCACACGTTTGCTTATAACAACTGAAACAGTGGACAGGCCCGAACAGATGCACGTTTGCGCACTAACTGATAACGCCATCGGTACCGATGGCACGGCACGTCTGAACGTTCAAAACACGGATCATCCACGCCTGCCTGCGACAGCCTATTGCTATGGTACACACCTTCCGGTACACAGTCTAATCAACTTTTAAGAAATCTCGTCCGTACCGCCTGTTCGTGCCGTAGCGACCCAGTACGCGATAAGCTTAAGATGACGAACATCGATATGAAAGCAGCTGCGCGTTTCTTGGAGTTTCAGGGACACCGACCCTCAGCACCGCAGACTTAGTTAACTGATACGACCCTATTGTGAGGACGAGGAGCTGCAACAACTTAGGTATAAAGGCCTATTTTCGATTCATGACAATGGAAAGGGCTGACGCGTTACCATAGCAAATGTCACAAACGATTCATCTGAACCGTCGGATTGAACATTCAAGCAAGAAACCAGCCTTCTGGTAGGGCTCCGGGTGTACGAATTTTCAACAAAAAAAAACCATCTGTGTACATCCGGTGATGCTTAGCACGTGATCGCACATAACTTGCTAAACACAATGCATATCGTATCTTCTTCTCTTGTCTTCGCACATGACGGAGAGAGGCCAACACCAATTGAGCAAGCAGCCGACCGAAAAAAGCGAGCGTGTGGAAAGAAATACGTTCTTACAGTATATAATCGGTACAACTTTAAACTTTAGTATGGTATTAATCAATGTTATCTATCATAACCTTTACTTCTAAGAGCAAAATATTAAATTCATTATGAAAGGAAACATTCTACGTAGAAAAATTCGCATATACCAGAGAAAACACCGAAGAGTTATTCAATTAACTTTAAATTATAGTGGTTTGCACGCGATTGAAAATCTAGAGTTCAACAAGAGGAAGCTATATAGTATAATAAGGGTTAAAAATAAAATAAATTCCTACTTGTGGTAACACACGTAGTACGGCACAAAGAGAAATATGCTATTTCCATTATATATTACATAATGCAGATATTAGATATTTAAAAGTAAATTCATGAAAATCAATTTAAAAGAAGTAGAAAGCATTTTAGCTGTATTATGTTGACAATTGAACTATAGTGAAGGTGCTAATTATTTGTTTTACATATTTGGGTATCTTTTCTGTTCACAGTTGCAGCGATATCTCCGCTAGTGACTTCGTGGAATTCTCAAACTTTTATGGACCCGACCGGAAGTACGAGCGGAAATGTGGAGAGCTGAAAGGCTTTGAGGTGGACAGTGACAGGAAATTCTTTCGGGTCACTTTCCGGTCCAACGACCGTCTCGATGGCACGGGCTTTAACGCTACGTACCAGTTCTTAGACGAGGAAGATTCGTTTACTGTGCAAAAGGTGTCACGTGATGCAAGAGGAGGTGAGTAGCTAATTTTAAGGTTTGTGATCAGAATGTTTTGAGACGAAAATTGTGATTCCATTCTACTCACTCTAAAACTTTATGCTGCTATGAAATTAGGATAATAAAATTGTAGATTTATCAGCACATTTTAAATTTGAAGTTGAACATCATTAGCCAATACAGATCCTTTAATGGGTCACGATCTTGCTCATTCTTACTCTCTGTAATATCGTGATAATTGCAGCAACCGCATACGTTGCACAAGAGATAAAGTTATTGAAACTCTAAATATACTACTTTCTTGTTGATTCCTACACAGGTTGATGTGAAGTCACAGTGCATTCGTGCTTGATTTCGGCGTGAGCTGACATAATTATCCCTGAGTGAGATGTTGTTACCCAGTCCTGTGACGGTGTCTACGTTGATTGTGGCGCGGGTTAACGGTGATTGCACTACAGCGACCGCACGGTAGTCAACACAGTAGGGTTAAATCGTGGCGCTGTGTCGTGACGCTTCGGCGATGCAGTTGTACACGCTTGACTTCGGTGCTCTGCGACTTGGGTGTTTCTAAAGCGACCGTTTGCTACTAGAGAGAGAGCATTCTAGCGCAAACTAACACAGTAGCATCGCTCTTGAGGAAGGTTCATGTTCATGTCTCTTCTTGATTGTGTTGGTAATACCGTAACTTCCTTCTTTTTAATTGGAATGAGTTATAAATTGCCGCATTCGACCGGGAAACATGCTTGTCGACGGTAAAAAAAAGAAAAGCTGAGTGAGGAATACTGGGACGCGAACTCTAAATGGTAACGTATTGAGAGGTTGCCCATATGCAAATTTTGTTCAAAAAGATTGATGTATCATTTGCTTCACTCAATGCATTCATCAAAATGTTGACAGTTAATTTCGTTTCAAGAAATATGTTATTTTAACTAGTGTCAATATCGTGTAACTCTCGCATTTTGATTAAGATAGAAGCATCGATAGAAGCAACTGTGCTTGTATTACACCGATTTTATACGTAATGAATAGGAATAATGCGTCCGAAAATATATAATTGTTGTATGGTGATACACATCTATATTTTGATGTTATTGTGCTATATTGTGTGTTTGATGATGTTGTTATAACACATTCATGCGTTAATAGTGCACTGATGGTGCCACTTCCCTTCAGAATCTAGGTATAGAATTCATTTCTATACGCATATCCGCTTTTCAATTCTATCAAACGCATTGAGGAGAGATTATGGGGCCCGACTGGTACATTTTTGTGAACTCCAACGTAAAGGATAATTCGAATGTTATCCAATGTTTTTTCAATGCTTGTGCCAAAACAAGTTTTCTTAAATACATGCATCGGTACTCAACATATTGAGAATTTATTTTTGTGAAATGCAACACAATGCATTTTGTAGTCAGTGAATGCTCGAGCCCCCGAATAAATTAACGTAGATGTAACGCGAACAAAAAAGGACAGCACTGATGCAATTCTGTTTTACTTTGCTGCAGCGTCTTAGTTTCTCAAAATATCCTCTTTGAATTCTGCAGTTGGAGTTATTTGGTGGATTTTTGTCTGGTTAGTAGTGCGTGTTGGGGCCTTTAGATCTTAGTTAATTTAACAATAAAACAATAAAATAACGAAGATGCATCTTTGTCGATCCAAACAACAGAAGCGACGTTGATAGAAAAAATGTAGGAAAAGGGGAGCGAATCGTGACAAAAATCAGATATAAAGTATTTAAGAATTCAACGTTCAAAAATTGTACTGTTTTTAAATTTTGAAGATGAAATGATAAGAATAAGATTCTCTGGTATTTTCTTTTCTGAAATAAAAGTGGAGTCGACATCTTGTAACCATTGACCTTTCTTTGCTTCAGGGTCGTCTCGGATACGGAGTTGGTATCTTCTACTGACGCCCTTGTTGTGGATGGTGGAAATGTAGTCTCTATGATGACTACCATGTATCTTCGCCGGATAATCTCCATGACGTATCACATGTATTGCGATTTATTGAAAGTGTGATAAGCAGTGAAAACGTGTGATATGATTTTTGGTGTTGTGAAATATATTTTTAACACTTGAGTTCCAGATGTCATTGTTCCTGAAAGAAAGACTCCCGTGTTGTGAAGGGTAGTAGCTACTTTTGACTATAGAGATCGCAATAAAGAAACAAAAATTGAAATGATAGTAATAGGCTTCCTGGGGTTATCTTTGTAATGGAGATCGGAATAATCCTAAACGTTTGTACGTTGTTAGCATCGTTATTCGCGAAGAATAGAACTTCAACTTACTTAGCAATTACTTTAATTTTGTTGAATGTTTAGCAAAACCGGGTCATTATTAACTATTGAAATTATGAAGTTATGATTAATGCGTTTACAATCAAAATATATTTTTTGCATCAATTGTTTAACATAAAGGATGAATGCTCTTTATATGAACATTAAAAGTATATACGCAGTGAACGTGTGTATCAATTTCTTGGGATTTGCCACCACTTTATAAAGACTGGTGTACAGTCTCGTCCAACTCCAGGACCAAATGCGCAAAAATAAGTTAATGACGTTCAATATGTCATGCATTATTTCGATTTTTGTAATTTTTATTTTGTGGTCGTAGATAGTTATAAGTAAGATGTCGCGTATTGATCAATTAGCATGTCCTCTGGATTTACTGGCGAAGTAATTCTTCAGAATGGTAGTTACACATTTTGATTAGTGGTGGTTATTAGTTCCAAAATTAATGAAGGTAATCGAATGATGGTGTACGCTATGTGTCTTTCGTTTCTGTGTACACACGAAATTTAAGAAGCTTTTTATATTAATTTTGTCAGATAATAACATTGAGCTTTTATACAGAAAATTTTTAAAATGAATATTTTGTTTTATTCTCTTCGTTTGGGAATTTTTATCTCCAGCGAAATCTGATCCATTGCAACCTTAACTGCCACACATTTTACATAAGGACTGCACATTTCGGTGCACTATCCCGCCGTTGGCTATCTCCGCGCGCTTCGAGGAGTCTGGATGGAAAAGCGGAGTACTTTGGGGAATTGTAATTGTTTTATACGGCGTTTTAGAAATGTTTGCGGTATTATGTTGAAATTCGTAATTTCGAAAAATTAGCTAGTCAATGTCTTATTTTACGTGGCCAGACTCGGCCATCTGGCCCGCCCTTCCATCTATTGCTACGCTCCTTTTACCATCTAGCGGAGAAAAAAAATATATCGGGCGACAGAATAGGCGATTTAACTTTTAGCTCAGATACTTCTTTTAGGCTTTAGGATCTTTTACATGCAGTAAATTACTACATGGGATAACCGGCTTTACTTCCCCTCCAAAGAAAGGCATATAAAGGATTTTTTCGTTATGAAATGAAGGATATAACATCCCTACACGCTGACCGTTATACGATCGAATCCGAAAAGAAAAAAAAAGAGTAAAGCCAAAAGGGAGTAAACATCATAATTCGACGAAATGAGTAGTTAGATTAATAATTGCTGTGTTAAATGTAATTCTCTACATGTGGACTGTCTCTCCTTTCGTGGACCTTTTTCTGCACTGTATTCAAATGAAAAGGATTATCTTTAATTTTTTGCGGAATACTAAAAAAATAATGTATTAGGTGTTTATAATATAATTTTCCGCAATTATACTGTGATAAAAAGGGGGATTTGGAAATGAAGGGAAAATTTTCGAAACGTGTTGGGAACAGCTTGATGATACCTCGGTCTTCGGAACGTGACTTTTCCCTGCTGTTGTTTGCGTTCGAGGTATCTTTTTTTGACATAATTTCGTTTGTATTTTGCTTTGGTGTCACTGCATATTCTCCCCCTGGGAATATTTCAAAGTTTCATTGGTACACAAACGCTCGAATGAAAGAGAAAGAAATATAAATCGTTACATCAATGTCGATGTAACCTCTTTTGCGTGCACGAGAACATACCAAAAATGAATGAATGAAAAATGAATTTGGGATTTTAATTTACATTCGCCACAGTTTCTTAAAGATATGTAATAAAAACAGATTTTATGCACACTTTTTTCATGGGATATCTCTGCTTGTGAGATGTGCCTGTGAAACCTGTCAGATATACGTCAGTCAAAGGCAAACTCTGTGCTTTTGCAACCGCAGCGGGTTTCTTTTCCTATGTCTAGCACGGTAGAGTCGGATTACGCAGGAAGATGTAGGGCCCGCGACAATGCTGTAATCAGTAATCACCAAAAATGACAGCCATATTGGACACAAGGTTTCGTAAAGCGGCACTAAAAGCAACCGACCGCTTGAGGAAAGATTGGCACTCCTGGCTCGTAATTTTCTTTCAACTGCTCCATAGCAAGAATTCAAACATCACTTCTCGGTCGCAAACAATTACTCCTCGTTTTCCGCCGTTATTAACATGGGTGCGAAACGTTTCTTCGTTTCAATAAGGAAACAGTTAAATAAAAGAACAAATTATTAAATGACATGAGTCATTGAAATTATTGAAAAATCAACTGCAAAAGAATCAACTGCAAAAGCACGATCTTAAAAATATAATTTTCACATGAAGAGGAAAAAGGCAACAGACCTATCCTCCTTCACGTTTAAATAACATTGCACTGAATCAAAACAATTTAACAGGTAGTACGTACAAAACACAACAAAACAAAAAACTTCGTGAACAGTCGCGAGAGAGACGCCGAAGTTGTGCAGTCGTGACTTACATGCACGAACACAAATATTCGTGTTTTGACTGAGTCGCAATGTACTAAACTTTTGGGAAATTGCATGTCATACGGATATTGGAATGTAACACCTTTTGAATGAATACTTCAGACGTAGTATAATGTGTTAAGAATATTAAATTGATCCAAATTAATGGGAAAAATATTTTGTTATTTTCCCTGAAACCCTTCATATGTTAACTGTCCATTATGAATTTATGTAAATTACATGTAAATATTTTTAATATGTAATAAATTTTTATATGAAATGTTGTTCTATGATTAATCTGGAATTAAGAAAAAAACTGTGACATTTAAATTACTGCTGCGGACCTTTTGGTATAAATAATTATTTATATTATAAATAGTTATTAATTAAAATTACAATTTGCATAGATACTACACAATTTGGAAGAAATATAATAAAAAGTTTACAATGGAGAAAAGACCGGCATATGTAGAAGTAAAACACATTCTCCTCAACCCTAAATCACCAATGATAGTAAAATTTACTCGCTGGCTTAAATTTTTACAATGGTCCTTTCGTTAAGTGCCCAGAACCTACCTCATAGCAGTGGAACTACTCTTTCAAGGTTAATGTATGCGTAATGCCAGTATAATAATTGTCTTTGTTTTCTTACTGAAAGTGAATGTCTTGAGTCTGCGAGTAAAATTTATCCGTTAGTATTAAGGAGCACCGGTACCGCAGAGGATCGAATTCTTGTCACTTAATAAAGTTGCAATTCTATAAAACTTGCTTCAATTTTTTAAATTATTTTTGGAGTCTTTTAGTTAAGTTTTTAATGATATTGTAATTTATAATCGCCTAATTTGGAGCTTTTTTATTGTATATAATTTTCTTTTAAAGTGAGTCAATTTTACTAAGAACTTATAAAAAAGCGATACATTTGAACACTTGTTTTCTAGGCTCCACTCAATTTAACTCCTTTCTCCTGGAAAATGAGTTTTTGGAATGTCTCTTTTTTAACCAAATATAATTGTAGGGCTTAGGTTGCACGGTTGCACGATCCCCAGATAATCGAAAAATATTTTATAATTTATTAGGAGTATACATTTTCGTTTTAATAAATTCAGTATTCAAAATATTGCATCAAAATCGATGTATACAAAATAATATAGAACCAAAGAGTGTAATGTACGCTCTCTCCGACGTCTGGTGCTCACCCAGGCCTTGGTCCACGTCACGCTCTTGGCTCGCATTACTGCATTTACTCATTTACTTCAACACAGGGCTCAATAGGGCCTAAGGTTGCGCAGGGTGGGGGGTCTTGTTATCGAGCGCTGCTCCGTGTTCGAAGAAAATGCCCATTTTATCATGATCTGATACTAGCTGGAACTTGATTTTATGAATTTCGCGTATTACGGAAAGTACACAAGTGAGACTGCTGTTGTAAATACGCGTGTGTATGTGTGGAAGAATATTTTATTATTACTTTCTTGCTACCGTTTTCGCAGTAGGAAGAAAGTTATGTAATGTTGCGAAAAAACGGGCCTTGCTGGGCCTTGATAAAGAAAAAGTGGGTAAATCTAGTTGCTAGAGTTAGAAAAAATCCTCTCACATATTATAATTGTATTTGTTTTCTGATGTAGCCAGAATCCATGTTTTCTGAGACCTTGATACCGAAAAATTGATTGAAGCCAAAACGTCCGTCCGTCTGTGAACACCACTAGCGCTTGAAATACGCGTAGGATTTTTTCCAAAATGAATATTCCTGACTCGATCTAGCTCGACTCAAAGATTTGCAATTTTGAAAACACTCCTTAAAATTTGGGATTACTTTATATGAAATTTTCAAACTTTTCTCAAAAATGGCACCAAGTTTTTCTTTAAATTGTTTTGTAAGAGTCGAGTAAAATACGCTTATAAAGATGGCATAGATTAGTTTCTCACTGTTAACTCTGAATTTTCAAAAATTTCAAGTACCATTTTTTCTCCATAGTTCTATGATTAAGGACGTGTGCAGTTTTTGAAGATTTTAGTTGTTTTCGCGCAATATTGCGTGCAATATGTGCAATATTAAAAATAACAAAAAACTGAACTGTTTTCTCGAAAACAGCTCCAAAGTTTTTGTTTAAAATTGTGGTAGGGATAGTGCTGTATAAGATGACATGAACGCCATTTTACTGTAATCTTTTGTTTTTTCAAAAGTTACAAAAATGTATTTTTTTTATTCGTTTCCCACGTCGTTAATATTTAAATCAGTGTGAGGGAGGTGAATGCACCTAACAGGGACATTATAGCATACAATTACGTAAGTGATGTTTTAAAATAGACTTCTATTATTCTAAGTTTTCATTAGTTTACAAGAATTGCTTATATTTTATTATATATTGGAGTTCTAAATTTTGGAAGTTGCAGAGTAATGGAGAATTACTCCTAAGCGCATTAAAGTAACGGAGGAATACTACAAGTGCAAGGCGTCAACGTCCCCCAAAGGGCTTGGAGACGCGTTGCGTCTATGTAAACGCAACAAAATAAAAAAGGTAAGAAGAAGCGTTAAGTAAACTCCTCAGTCAAACACTTATGTAATCAACAGGAATTGCTTAAAAATATTTAATAAAAGAGTAATTGTTCATATTTCTCATTTTCCTCTTGTATAATATATTAAATTAAACGATTGAACAGGTATTCCTTTCCTGATTATGCGAGCCTTCTCCACAAAATCCCATTGCATACAATAAATGCAACGTGAAGCATATTTCAATAACGTTAATGAAATCCCGGTATATAGCTTTCCCTCCATTTCTCATATTCCTTTCTGAACTTGAGTGAAAACTTAGGAAAATAGGAGGCTCCGTCGTGACCTTGCACCGTGCATTCATTGACGCAACCTGATTGGCTACTTGGAAACTGACATCAAAATCGCGCGCTCAGTCCGCGTTTGGTGCTCAGTGCTGACGGTTCAGACCTGCAGATGTATGCGGTGCGAAAAGAACGTTACGTTGAGTTAAATGCGTGTGCGATATTTTCAGTGCAGTGTGGATATGTTCATATTGAGACGATGTGACTGTGCATGGCTCTCTTGTTCCTGTCTTCTCTATATGGTGACGAGCAACGAAAGGTAAGAACATATGAAAGTGAAATGTTATAAAACATTTTTAATGAAATTCAAACCTACCGTATTAAATAATAAATGTTCCTTTCTTCACGGTGGTTTAGATACGGCATTGTAGTGTTCATTGTAAATCTATAAACACATCTAATAACTAGTTAAGTCTGAATTTGTTAAAATTCAAAAATAATACCATAGATACCCTCTTTAAATAGTACTATAAATTACAAAAATGATTTTCAAATAAAATATGCCGGCAAATGTCCCACAATTCCATGTGAGTGTTGCTCATAAACAATATCTTATACAAATGAGCGACTTCAAATTTGAAAATATGTCAATGTTTCGTTTTGAGCTTTTCAATAAGTCATTCTATTATAATCGAAAATTTAACTTAATCCACGTTAACCGATGGAAGTAACAACTTGATCTCGTCAACTCGAGGATTACACAATACAGCATTTTTTTTAAAAATTCACAGCGCTGAGAACGAATTTGTCCGATTTGTATAATGACCATGAATTGTTTTGCATTGATACTTGTAAGTATCCGTCCCTGAGATCTACGAACTTCGCTGATTTAGTTTTCCTTCTCAATGTAATTAAACGTATGTATTGACTATTGATTCTGGATTAGTTTAATATTAGGGTATCGCCATTTAATACCAGATGAAGGATAGAGATGAAGGGACCTTCGAGGTCAAAAACTACAATTCAATTTAGCAATACTCTAACCAAAATGAATCCTTTTTACAAGGAGCTGTCGATTGATCTTATTTAGAAGAAAGTTTAGCAAAATCATTTTGTTTTTAAGAATTTTATTCTGAAATGTGATTTTGCTTGTGTTTAATGTAATATATTTGCTTCTTTTCAATTTTATTTTCTATTTATTACATTTGAAATATAATTGATTTGCTCTTTATATTAAGAATTGTGTAATGTAGGTATTATATCAAAAATTTTCTAGTATTTTTGATATTGTTAAAATTGCAGCCACATTGTTTAACGTTTGACTGTAACTGCATTAAGAACTGCACGTGTGTTTATTGGCTAAATAAATGAAAACAAGCAATATGATGATGTTTCACTCTCGGACGATAAATGCAGTAGTCTATTCTGTGTAAACAGTAATTTTCAAATTAAATTAATTTATAATTAAATACTAAAAAAGTTGATGAACTTCGATTTACATTCTAAAAGATTTGACATAAAATGTATTCTGGACAGTTGACTCTTGAAAAAGTGAATGTTACGAGATACAGGACTAGAAGTATATAAATCTTGATGACCATTTCATTCTGTTATACATTCTAGTTGTAATTTGATACTTCCAGTAAAAATTCTTGATAAAAATATATAAAATATGGAAAAATATAAATTGCGAGCCTTAACGCTACCTTTAATTGATTTCTTGGAAAGATGTAAAATTTGGAGTTGGATTCAAGACTTCACAAGTTCAATAGCGTCTATTAAGAATACTAATCCGAATATTAAGTATCGATATTTAACTTTTCTAGCAACAATATGTAACGTGATTCCAAATATAATAAAATATGAGATTGAATTGTAATGCAACGTACATTGTAACAAAAATTTGAAATTTTAGGTAATTGTGAACGCTTGGATTCGAATCCGTAATACATGTTCTTTAGTAACACTGTTACAATCATATAAAGATATTTCATGAAATAAATAAAAAGTTGCGAGATTCTCATATGAATTAACTGAATATTTTAAGAACACGAATAAAATATTAAAGGTTTGTGCGGAAATACACACACACACACACACACACACACATACATACATACATACATACGAGATATGTTGTACACGAAAACGAACAATGTTAGTCGGATTTTGAGGGTTCTTGCCGAATAGGAAAGATTTTTCTGGGTGTGATAACCTAGTCAATAACAAAGCATGCAGAACAACATCTAAAAGGTGAGATATTAAAGTTTATATTTCACGCTGTTAAATTTCACAAGGTGAAATAATGGAGTAAGCTTTGACGGCCGTGTTTTTCTAATATCAAGAGCTGTTGGACGTAATAGCTAAATTTCGGATTAGAAGACGAAGAGAGACCAACCATGCTAGTTAGCCTTCTTTTCTAAAACATTTAATAATAAAACAATCTAGCGTAAAAATCTGAATTTTGTCAAGGTAATGCAAGTAAGATTTTTATTTTTGCTGATTTAAGGGGTATGCAGAAAGGTTTGAAAACCAATGTCGAATGGAGACCATTAGAAATGAAACTTGTATGTGAAAGTGTAATTATGTGCCACTCGAAACAAAAGTGCTGACGAAAATGTAACTGACCATGAAATTCTCATTCTAAAACCATCATCATCGTCTACTGATGCGAGTGAGCCCGTGGAAGGCAGCAGCAACTTTTTCGTTTAGTGTATATCTGGCGAGTGTTGTGATTAGTAACGTAATAACTGCTGTACAGTCACTTCAGTATATTTATCCATGTTTCATGAATTGAAAGCCCCTGAAATAGAGGTCGCAGTCTCAAAAACAAAATGGTAACGTATTACATACTTTTTTTAGACTTTGCGTCTAATTCTTTGAGCAACTACTATCTCCGAACTATTAATTTTGTCCCATTAGTTTTGATGGTTTACCCCCAATTGCAGGGCGATTACATTTTGCCTTTGCCTAACCTCCTGAGACATCACGTGTCCTTCTTTACCTGATCACTCGGTTCGAATGTTGTCTTACTAACAGTACGAACCTGAGTAGAACGTCGTAGGAAACTAATAAGACCGCTGTAAGTTGAAAGCTGTTTAATGATACGCTGTTGGAAATAATATTACTGCGGTTGTTTTACATTAGACTTGTGCGTGTTTTTTGACATTCACAGCATATTTTTTACAGCTGGAAAACAATTCCATATACTTTCGATAAACAATTATTGGCAGACATCTCATTATATGGCTTTGCTTACAAATTTATTTGTTCATTCTCATCTTCGATTAATCTCTATCTTCTCAGAACAAAGGTATGAAGAAATTATCAATCTCACGTCAATTAATAACTCATAAAAATATAAACAATAGTAACAGTAACTAATCAAATCTTGGGAATAACTTTTAAAGTCATTTTGCGACGAATATTTCCAATCAATTATTTATTACAGCTGATGGATACTTGAAATTTATTGTATTTCCACCGCTTTAAGGGGCGGTTTAGTCAAACTCACGTAAGTTTATTACTAATTGTGCTTAAATGATTACGATGAACATTAAATAAGTAATATAATCAGGATTACCTGCTCATATGTTTAACCACAGAATTAATGAACTCTATTAACTCTACAAACAGAGAGTGATTCATATTTTTGACGATGTATTGTGGATAGGTAATTTTTTGTTGTATATTCTTTGCAATTTCAGAATTGCTCACTATTCTAAGCAGTGTTAGAAATGATTTACTTAATGATGATTGATTAACTTACTAAAGCCCAGCACCACAATACTACATATTATTGATTTTATTAAATAATTTTTGCAATGAAAAAATGGACAATTAAGCTTATGAAAATATCAATTTTTTCAACTCTAATTATATAATTCTGTCATTTGATGGCTGCAATCCGTTGCATAATGATACTCATTAAGATAACACCAGATTCTAAACAGTGGCATTAATTATGTCTCCCTTCTTCATCATAATCATCTTTGTCATCACACGTACCTTTGTGCAAAATGATCTTATACCTGAATAGTCTTTTTTCCCCAGTCGTTCCCACACATAATAACTAGCAACGACAAGATATCCTTCATCTTTGTTGATTTTACTGCTGTTTTAAGTTTGTAGTGTTACTACGGGAATTGAGAAAGATTTTGCAGATGGCCAGCTCTTTTTATGAGAACTATTGTATCTTTCAAAGTCACTTTCAGAACTGAAATGTTGTGCTGCTTTAACTTTTCCAAACGTCATTTCATGACTGGTGTTTTTCTCTTTCTTCTTCTTCCTCTTCTTCTTCTTCTTCCTTCTCCTCCTCCTCCTCTTCTTCTTCGCCATTTTGGTGATATGTTTGCTTTAACTGCGCCCAACTTCTTCCACTCTTCTCTATTCTTCCATCTTCCACATCTTCTCTACGTTGTCCCTCCAACCAGGTCGCGGCCGGCGTCTTTTCCTTCTTTCTTGCGCTTGCCAGTCCATAAGTTTCTTTGGAAGTCTATTTCTCTGTATCCTCTGCACATGTCCAAACCATAATAGTTGTTTCCTTTCAATTTTGTGCAATATATACAGCTTCAAACCCATAACCTCTTAAATTCTTTAATTTCGTATTTTTAGTCTTCTTGAAATTCTAGCGGAACGTCTAAGAAAGTCCACTTCCTTGACCCTCAACTTTGCTCTCATTTGTTCTGAGAGTTGCAATATCTCATCACCATACAGAACAACACTTTGCATTATTTATCTATATAGCATTAATTTTGTTTTTTACTTATATTCTTGCCCATAGAATAGAATTCAGGGAACCAATGAGTTTTCTGCCTTGTTAAATTCGTTCCAAAACCTGTCTCGAAGTCCCTGCTTCCCAATTTGTACTCCTAAACATTTTATTTTTTCAGTTTTCTTAATTTTGTTTCCCGTGCCCATACTTGTGTATGAATTTTTATCATTTAATGACCAGTACATTGTTTTATCGAAGTGATCAATGAATGTTTCGTTCGATTTAGCACAAAGAAATTGCATTTAATATTATATTATGCTTGTCAGTTTTCATTTCTTTTATTAGTAGTAATTTCTACGTAGAATATTATTTAAAATAAATTGGATAGTAATTTCATTTTGACCCTATTTGACTAGCGCAATGGTAGTTATTGGATGGAAGATTTGACTGACGTGAAGATCAGAACGCAAGTTATTTTGTGTTATATGTTGCTGCCGTGTGGTTTGGTTGACCTTAAATACTGGCCATTGTTTATTGAATCATAAGTGGTATCGATTGTCTAGCGAATCAAATATGTCCAGTAAATCAGAAGTGGAGTTGATCTC